GAAAGAGTCCGAAAGTCCGGAGGCAAGGCTCGCAGCCAAGACTCTGTGACTTCTGAACGAGCACGATATGCAACATCACCAAGCGCTCAATCGGTGACGTCTGAGTCTTAAGGTCGGTCAAAAAATGGGGTGTCTACAGCCGTTCAGTATTATGTTGGGCCCAAGGCCGTTCTGTATTATGTTAGGCCCAAGGCCGTTTCGTCTTATGAGAGCCTGAGACCGTTGCGAAATATGATTATGGATAAGACATGTATACGTTGTATATTTATTCTTCAAGACATATGCTCATTCTTATGAACCTTCTTACATTATCATTACTCATTGAGCCTTGCTCACTTCATATTTATATAAATTTATGTAGGTGATTAGCTTAGAGGCCAGCCCTAGGTCAACTTCAGGAATTTTTGATGGACCTATTTTGTCAAGGCTCCAACGTTGGAGCCTTTTTTCTTCTTTTTTTTTCTTCTTTTTTTTTTTTGAGGTGTTCCTTTGATGCCACATTTTTGTTAAGTCTTTGGTGGCTTTTATTGAACACTTCATCAGTATGTAATTTTTGGGCTTCTAACTCTTTGTATATAGCTACATGAGTTGGACTTGTATATATATGAACTGTGTATGTGAACTCTCTATACATGACTTCATGTTTAAAATCCTGGCATATAAGCACTGCTCAATGGACGTTCTGTTATTTTATTTAGTTTTACTCAGGCCCTGTTATGATAAGTTCTTGGTAATTTTGTCTGAGGCCGTAAGTAATCAAGAGGTTACTGGCCAGTCATGATCCAAACTTTTAGGGGCGGGTTTGGGTCGTGACAGAGATAGTAGGTGGTGCAACTCTTGGATTTCAAGCCACATTGGTTTAACAGTATTGGATGTCGGTAAGGGTCATCCTACCATTATGCCGGTAGCATAGCTCGGTAATTCCATTGATGATTCATAATGTGTTTATGGCTAATTGCATGGGGTTCACAAAATAAAAGTGCATCATTTCTCGAAATAAGATGTTAAGTGGGAATGTGATTCCACCCTATACTGTGGATACTACGGGAAAAGACATGTAGTTATTCGAGGCATATCTGGACATCAGCTGGGATGCTGAACTCTCAGCGAAAGTTTTGATTTTGGTAGGGGTATCAACTCTTCATCTATGCATACCTATGATGTGTTCTTGGAGTTCTTGATGGTTATATTCAGCCTAGGGTTTGGAAAATTCTTAGAGTCCTAAGTTCTAGGAAGTCTGCTAAAAGTTTAGAAAATCTCGAGTTTTATGGCTAAAATGTAGATTCAAATCTAGAATGTGAAAAAACAGAGGTAAATATGTAGGAAATTTGAAGAAAACTAGAAAAATGAAGAATGATGAAGATCAATGAAAAACAGGTTCAAGAAACTTGAAAACCAAAATTGAAACTAAAGGTTTGGGGGACTTACAGATCGGTAATGGAGAAATGGACGCCAGATTTGAGTTCACCGGAGAAAAATGAAGCTTTTGATCGGAGCAGAAAATTAATTCAGTCGTCGGAAACGACGAACGGAGTAATTGCAGTGGTAGAGATTCGAAGGTGCAACAATGGAGGTTAAAGAGAGAAAGTCTAAGAAGAGAGAAAGTTAGGAATATGAAAAGTGGGAAGATGAAGGGGTGGAGAGGAGTTTTGGTGAAAGAGATGGCGGCAAATGAAAATAATTTAAATTTCTTGGGAAACATGTAATGGTTGATGTCAACTGACGTCAAGTCAAGCGATGTGTGTCAGTGAAAGGACGTGTTGGGAACCAATAAGGAGTTGACACGTCATTGGTGCATGTATAACGATTAAGGTTGTTTTGAGGTGACAGCTTTCGAATTTTGGAGTTCTTGAACTAGAGAGTCATGATCTCGGATAGTAGTGTGATCTTAGTTGGCATGATGAGCTAGGACAAGAAGAAGCATCTAGGTTCTATGTTTTTTTGTAACTTCTTGTTTCTTGGAAGCCGACGAGTCATGATCTTAGTCGGAAAAGCATCTCCTAACATGTTATTTAGTCGACATGTTGGGAGGTCTGACAATATAGGTTTGATCACCTCAGTATGGCTGAGGTAAAATCTAGTGGGCAGTTGTGGGGACATAATTTTGGGTTGTCCATGTGGCCTAGGTTATTAGACGAGGTGCTACGTGGGTGGTTTAGGATTGCCGAGTTATGATGCGATCATACCAGAATCTAAGATATTCAAATAGATGACAAGACTCCTAGATGATATCAGACTACTTGTTTGGGTAAGGTTAGACTCTTGTGAGAATTGATCTTAATCTAAAGTGGAAGAGTCTTAGATAAGTGATATCTTATAAAGGACAGAGTGCTATGAAGCAAGACTTCTAAGGAAAAGTGGCCACTGTTAGCTATATAAAGACGGTACCCCCATGGGTTTAAGGTACGTTCTAAACTAGTGTGTTATTTTGAGCCAATATCTTTGAGAGATAGTTGATTGGTTTGATCGTCGGAGTACCTCCGGGTAGACGGGCCGCCAGTCTTGTGGTCTTCTTATGTGCAGGTGTTGGACTTATTTATTCTTACGTGTGCTCTACAAATTAGTTCCCAAGATCTCGACAAAGAGATTCAATTTGATTGTGAGGTTAAAATTCAACACCTACGGTTTTCATGACAACAATTAAACCAAACATGACTATCAATAAAACTGTAGAGAAATTAAAGAAACATACAAAAATCAATGATCAATAGCAATGGCATTGTCTTTTCCACCATGCTTCGTCCCTACACCATCCAACCCGTCTTGGACGAGTTTCCTCCACTCCAATAAGAAAGAGGGCTAGGGACGAGTTTCCTCTCCTCATCCTCTTCTATCTCTCTCGCGCATCAATTATATTTATTAAATATATTTATATATAACATTTAAATTTCTTACATAGAATAAAATATTACCCTTAAAAACTCATTTTCACATTTTTATTTATCATTTTACATCTTTTAAATCTCACCACTTACAAATTATTATATGTAACCATATCATCTTGCATTTTATTAATTCCACCACTCAAAAGGTTATAAAATTAGCCAATCGTTGTCTAGCTCTTGCCTCGGCCTTACTAACTCGCTGATTTGTCCCATCCCCACTATGATTAAAGATAGAGGTAGGGGCACCACAAAACTTGTCTCTTCCCACCCTACCTCGTCCCGTTGTCATCCCTAAGGATTAGGTAATATGTGTGAAAGCAATACCTTTTTCTTTTCATCCTATTTACTAACTTGCTTTCTTTTCTTCCCTTTTATTTTAGAAAGAAATTCAATACAATGGGACAGATAAAAAAAAAAATTACAAAAATATATGGGGTACAAGTGGTTTTGTGATGGGGGTGCAAATGAAATGTTATGGAGATGCAAATGTGACTTGTACTCCTCCATGTTTGTGTTAAAAAAAATACTAGAAATCTCAAAAGTCTTACCAAAATTTTTACCAAATGTCTTATATGGGTGTGGGATCCACACTATGTGGATTCCATATAGGTCTCATACTCTTATGAGACATTTGGTAAAAATTTTAATAAAACTTTTAACATTTTTGACATTACTAAAAAATTCTCACATTAGGATATATTCCCTTTTATTTTATGTTTTACACACAAATACTATAAATCATTTATTATTTTTTGTCATCTTATGCATGGTTGGTTGAATAAAAATTAATTTTCACAACCATTATTAGTAAATTATTAAAAGAACTTTTAATCCAAAAGATAATGGTTGAATTATCGACTACAATAACTGTCCTAATATCCAAATCTACATTAATCTTTATAAATAAATAAATAAATAAATTATTTGAGCAATGCCCAAGAGACAAAAAAAAATTACTCCATTTATTCCAAAATAATGATCCCTTTTGGAGAATCTAACTTTTTTTGGTAGTATAATTATTGCACTTACAAAAAATTAAATTTTCAAAATTACCCTTTGATTGTACATTTTTTGAGGAATATCAATGTCATAATTATACTTTTTATATTGTTAATGAATTTAAAAGAATGGCAAAATAGCAAATTTATATTATTTTTGTACTTAATTTTTAAAAAGGGACTAATATTTTGGGACAATGAAAAATAGAATAAGGAACTGATATTTTGGATAATTATTGCACTTACAAAAAATTAATTTTTCAAAATTACCCTTTGATTGTACATTTTTTTAGGAATATCAATGTCATAATTATACTTTTTATATTGTTAATGAATTTAAAAGAATGGAAAAATAGCAAATTTATATTATTTTTGTACTTAATTTTTAAAAAGGGACTAATATTTTGGGACAATGAAAAATAGAATAAGGAACTGATATTTTGGGATACAGGGAGTATCAAATATTCACATGAGTGTAGGTCCCACTCACATGAACATGAGTGTGGGTCTCACAATTATGTGAGTGTTTGGTAAATTTTTTGATAGAAAATTTGGAGTCTTTTGTATGATTGAATTTATTATTCATAATTAATGTGCTTGGGAATTGACTCAAAATTTTGCATTGATTTTTCTAGCATAAGTGGCTTTTTCTTTTTTTAAATGGGATTCCTAAATAAACCTGTGATCTGTCTAATACTCTCCTGAATGATTTGGGAATATAAATTGTGTCAACACTAAAATTTGTCAATACAACACAATTTGGAAATAGAAAAAAACAAAAAAAAAAAAATACTTGCAAAGAAGTCTCATAGAATTTCAGATGGCTAATGAGAACCATAGAGATTTACTTTCATGCTGTATATTTGTGTTGGTAGCTATCATGCACATGCTGAACCATGGATGTGTTGAAGGCAAACATGTTGTAATCCAAGATTATTTAAACTTAAAACATAAAGGAACAATCAAGACCATAGAGGTCGATTTCAAACAAAAGCTCTTCCTTCTTCTTTCCTTCTCTCCCCTCCCTCTTTTTTTTTTCTTTTTTTTTTTTAGCTATAAATATTCAGAGATTTAGGGGATTAATTGTTTATTTGATTTTATTTTTAATTTTTGGCAGAGTGAAGATGGTGATGTGATTGACTGCGTCGACATTTACAAACAACCTGCATTTGATCATCCACTTATAAAGCATTTACAGGTTTTTTTTTTTGTCACATACTTTTCAACTCATATATATATATATATATATATATAATTCTACATATTAGTCTTCCATTCTTTTGCTGGGGCTTGTTTTGACTTTTTCACAATTAATTGTTCGAATATCACTTGAAAAATGGCTTGAACTTAATTCTCAACTTGGTAATTAAAGTTTTTTTTTTTTGCTATTATGTTTAAGGATGTTGGAGATGCTAGAGGCATCAAGATAAGTGTTGGTCTTTTTGTGAACATACATCCGTTCCCCCTTTTTTATGAATTAATTATATTTTGCAAAGAACTAAAACCAATGAATTTGAAATAATGTAAAAATGAAAATATGTGGGCCAAAATGTGCAATAGAATTATTTCCTCCGCTTCCTAATTTTTTATTCCACCGGAACAAGATGGAACCTAGCTCATCTCCAATTGGAAGGAAAATGGATGACTCTCAATCCAAGCTTATTCAGAATTGGCATAAAAATGGAGAGTGCCCACAAGGAACAATCCCCATTAGAAGGACTCAAAATCATGACCTTCATCGAACTTTTCCATTTCACCGGCAAGGAGGACAACATTACTACCCCTTTGGGCAACTACTAGGTGGTCATGAGGTACAATTTGAACTTAATCTAAACTTAAAGCCTATCTGACGTTTACTCAAAATACAAAACATTTAGCAAAACCTTGTGCATTAATTTATCTTTTGTTTCATTTTAGTATGCCTTTGTTTCTGAAAGTGGTAGTACCTACTATGGGGCGCACGCATCATTTAATGTGTGGAATCCTAAGACAGAGGCTAATGAATTTAGCTTATCTCAAATTTGGGTTTTGTCTGAGGTAACAACCTTGAATACTATTGAAGCTGGATGGATGGTAAGTGTTAACTTGTTTGTGAGGCCTTAATATTTTGATACATTATCAATGACCTATTGTATGTTTAGTCACTACATATATATTATGGCGTCCTTAAGTAGACACGTTGGTGCATGTTTTTAGGTTTATCCCGGAAGGTATCTTGACAATCAGACAAGGTTCTTTATATATTGGACAGTAAGTTTCCTTAATTTTCTAATCCTCTATTGACTATTTAAAACTTATGATATTAATCACAACATATAACAATTTTTAACCCACATTTGATTCTCATGTTGGTAGTGATGACCTATTAATTCAACCTTACTTTACGTTCATGTGGCAAACAGAGCGATAACTATCAAAGCACAGGATGTTATGATCTTGGTTGCCCCGGTTTTGTACAAACAAATCATAAGTTTGCCATTGGTTCCACCATAACACCTGTTTCCACCTACAATGGAAAGACATTCGACATATCTATACTGATATTCAAGGTATATATATATATATATGCTACAATCTATTTAACTAACAACTTGTAAACCTTAAATACGATTCAAATTATTTACTTGGAAACACTAGAAGAACATGCAGTTTTATTTTAGTTTTGGATTTTTATTTTTATTTATTTATTTATTTTTATTCTTTTGATAACTTAGTATCAGTTCCACTAGACCAACTAATTTCGGAGATCAATCCATCATCCACGGGTGAGGGGGCCAACCAAGACAAAAACTCTATATGGACTAGTACCAAAAAAATTATTTGCACTTATAGAAGGCTTTGAGCCTAGACTTTTGGAAAAAACATACCCCCGGTCCCAAGTTTTGACCACTAGGTCAACTCCTTAGACTTTTTGAACAAATTATACCTACTGTTTATGTAGTTTGCCTTGTGTCAATTTTAGTCATGATTATTACAACAATTTTATTCTTGAATTTTTTACATTATGTCAATTTGGTCTAATTGATTATGTCCCTTTAAAAAGTAAATTGAAATCTAGGAACAAAATAGTTCATTCAATCTTCTTATTATGATTGAGAGATTGACGTCCAATTGAAAATAGTCTATTTCCTTTTGAATGAACCATTTGTTCTTGAATTATGTCCAATTTCTAATACATGTTATCAATTGGACTAAAATGACACCACACGATCAAATTGACACAAGATAAATTACAAAAATCATAGGTATAATTTTTCTAGTTCTTTACAAAAAATTATATGGGAAAATGCATTTTTTACACCAAAATTTTCATCTAATTTCATTTTAGTACCTCATCTTTCAATTTGAACAATTAATGTTCAAACATTAACTTATGTTTCAACGTCGTCCTCTTGACACTTACAATTTCAAATTTGTATGAAAAATGCTCACGTCAGCACATTTTACAAACATTAAAAGAAAAAATCCATATGACAAATTGCACGTTCATCCATAAACTTTCACTTAGATTCTACTTTGGTTCTGAATTTGTAATTTAAATCAAATTTCAAATGCAGGAGTAATAGGAGGATCCCATTGAAACACGAGTTGAAATCAGATGATTTAATTATTACAATTAGAAAATGTGGGATAAAAGTGAAATTTGACTAAAAGTTCAAGGTTTAAAAATGTAGTTTACCAAAAAAAATATATGAAAAATAAACAAAAAGGAGTGCAATGATCTATACCATCTTCAAGAATATATAATTTTTTTGATGAATGATTGTGTCGCTCAAGGTGTCATACGTTTCGAGCAATGAGAACAATTTTGTTGTTTCCTTGTAGTGCTTAATTTAAACATAGTGAAATAAGTCCATCAAAACTATCTGATTTTCCTATATTAATGAAAAATGTATTAGGACAACAACTCTGGAAATTGGTGGCTTCAGCTGCAAGATGTGGTATTAGGTTACTGGCCTGGTTCCATCTTCACAGGCTTAGCTGAAAGCTCTACGACAGTGGAATGGGGAGGAGAGATCATCAACTCAAGATCAGCACAACATCACACAACCACTCAAATGGGGAGTGGCCATTTTCCCTTCGAACGATATGGAAAATCAAGTTTTTTCTATAATCTTAAAGTCATTGACAACTCAAACACTCAGCAAGATCCAGCTTCCCTTCAACCATATGTTACAGATTCTGCATGCTATGATTTACATGTTGAGGAAAACAGAAATACTGATCTCGGAACTTATTTTTACTATGGGGGTCCCGGATATTCTGCAGAATGCCCATGATGATCAGCAAATTGATGTATTAAAGAATAAAAAACATTCAGTTGTTTAAAGTTTATATTTTAAATAAATTTTGTTTTCATTACTGGGCAGATGGCCCACCATCCAAACTTAAAAATAAATAACAACGAAGGAGTGAACAAAAGTCTAGTATAGAGATTTTTTGCATAAATTTTGTTTTCATTTTTTTCCTCTTTAGTTTGGTAAACACTATTTTTCTATTGCACTATTTCTTTCAAAAGAACTGTATTTGTAGTTTAAAACAATTTGATCGCATATATGTCTATTTGGCTATAGAGGAAAACCCAGAGCCTTTTTTAGTGTGGCCAAAACAAGCTGATAATGTACAAATTTGATTTACAGACTGATGATATCAGTTACTAGAGAGAGACCATTGTCACGCACCATAGATTAACAAGATCCAAGCCCATGAAAGTAAGAATACTAGTATGACAATAGATGAAGAAATGTAGAGAAATAACAAGGAGATCTAGACAATGGCAATCTGGAAGAAAACTAGCAAAATAGCCCTAGAAGCAAAGGGTAAGAACTCCAGAAGCAAACACAAACTCTCAAGTTTTAGATCTAGAAGTTGTAACCCTAGAATCTACAACTTGTGCAGCTTTATATGAAACAGGGCTGTGAAGACTGCTTGAGCGAAAGAATAGTCACTCGAGCGGTGTGTCTTAGATGTAGAGGAACCATAAGTGCCTTTGCTCAAGCGATGGGAAGTTTGCTCAAGCGAAGAATGAGATCTCTCAGTACTTTTATAGGCATGTCTGAACTACTAAGAGATAATCTTCTTCGCTCGAGCCACCAATACCGCGCTTGAGCAGTCCAAGTAAAAACAAGACACTAAAATACAACTAAAACGTTCTTTGTTCACGAAATTGATAACACAAAGGGACCTAGCAATCTTCCCCATTGTAAATTCCCGATCAAAACAATTCTAACATTAATTCCTAACAAACATATGCACTAGACACAAACACTCCCTAACCAAACACCGTGCGAAGAAAACCACCTGTAAGAAGTATAGAATCGCACAAACACATCTAGATGATAGATGATTAACATTAGCCTACTAAGCATAAAATCAATAATAAACCACAATCACAATCATGCTATCATCATGCTCCCCCTTTTTGGACTGGGAGAGAGAAAGTGGTTAAACCAAAAAAAAAAAACCAGATATGCCCAATATACCCAAAAAACATGTCCAACATAGGTAATAAACAAAAAAAAAAAATATGTCCAAAATATCCAAAAGCTAGAAAATACAAATAGAAAACCTGTCTATGAGGTAGAAGAATGAAAAGAATCACTGATATGGTGGACGAGGAGGTGGATCATGCTGCATCTGAAGACGTGAAAGTATATAAGTGCTTGGTTGAATGCTCTTGACAGGAACCAGTTGTTGGTTGTTCTTAAGAAATATAAATATTGTTTTGCATGGTCTTATAATGAACTACTAGGATTGGATAGGTCATTAGTAGAACATAGGCTCCCTATGAGGCCTAATTTCAAGCCATACAAGCAAAAACCAAGAAGAATGAGTCCAGAAGTGATTTAGAAAGTTAAGGAGGAAATTCTTAGACTACTCAAGGCAGGCTTTATTAGGACAGCCACGTATATTGAATGGCTATCCAATATTGTGCCTGTAGTTAAGAAGAATGGTAAAATAAGGGTATGCGTTGATTTTAGAAACTTAAATCTAGCAACTCCAAAAGATGAGTATCCTATGTCTATAGTAGATTTGTTGGTAGACAGTTCAACAGGGTATCAAATTTTATCAATGATGGACGGGCACTCTGGTTATAACCAAATTTGCAATGCACAGGAGCATGTTCACAAGACAGCATTCAGATGTCCTGGGAATATTGGCACCTTCGAATGGGTTAAAATGCCATTTGGCCTGAAGAATGCTGGGGCTACATATCAGAGGGCTATGAACACTATCTTTCATGACCTCGTTGGAGGGTATTTAGAGTGTTATATTGATGACATTGTAGCGAAATCCCAATCAATGGAGGAGCATCTGTTTCACTTAGAAGCAGCTTTTGAAAGAATGAGAAAGGTCAAGTTGAAACTCAATCCTCTTAAGTGTGCTTTTGGCGTATCATCTGGAAACTTCTTGGGCTATGTAGTACACAAGAAAGGAATACAGATTGTGTCACACCCCAAATCCGGACATGACCGGCCGTGGCCCACAGGGACTTAGCCCAAGGCACACGTAAGCCTAAACACGAATCCAATCACATTGAACAACTGAACAATAGTAGGTTAATTTTCTTCGAAGATTCATTTCTAATACTGCAGGGAAAACTAAAGTATTTTCTTCCTTGTTAAGGCGAAAAGATGAAGAGGAATTTGTGTGGATAGCAGAGTATCAAATTGCTTTCGAAGGAATCAAAGCCTACTTGGCCAACCCTTCAGTGCTAATGTCACCAAAGGATGATAAGCCCTTGAAATTGTACATAGCTGCAGCTGAGGATTCATTGGGAGCTTTCTTAGCCCAAGACAATGAAGAAGGCAAGGAGCAAGCTGTTTATTACCTTAGTAGGTTTCTAAATTCTTGTGAATGTAAATACTCAGCTGTAGAAAAGTTGTGTCTTGCATTGTATTTTGCTGCAATGAGATTAAGATCCTATCTTTTACCTACAACTGTCTTGGTAATTGCAACCACAGATTTGGTTAAGTATATGTTATCTAGACCTATGTTGAGGGGGAGAATTGGAAAATGGATACTAGCCTTATCAGAATTTCATTTAAAATATGTTCCCCAAAAGGCAGTAAAAGGACAAGTTTTAGCTAATTTTTTGGCAGACCATCCATCTCAAACAGAAAGCCAAGAGATAATGGAACTTGGTATGGCTAGTGTTGAACCATGGCGAATGTGGTTCGATGGATCAAAAGCCAATGGTCTAATTGGAATTGCTGTGGTAATTAAGTCACCACAAGGAATAGAAACCACACATGGTTTCAGAGTAGACGAAATTACTTGCTCCAATAATCAAGCTGAATATGAAGCCTTAATAATGGGACTGGAAATTCTCATTGGATTATAAGTTCATGCGGTTGACATATTTGGAGATTCTCAATTGGTGGTTAACCAAGTGAAAGGGATTTTCAAATGTCAAAGTATAAGCATGTTGCCATACTATGTTGTTGCATTACATCTACTTTCTCAACTTCAAATAGCAAAGATAACCCATGTCCCAAGATTCTTGAATAATAGAGCTAATGATGTGGCTCAGAAAGCTTCGAATTTCAAGAGAAGAGATAGTGCTCAAAGGGACATAAGCCAAACAACATATCAGAAATTAATACCACCCTTAAATAAAAAGAATGTGGTCTTGGAAGTCAATCATAATGACTTACAAGAGCAAGATTGGAGGCATCCAATAATGCAGTATCTGGCTGGCCCATCTTCAAAGGCCAGTAGAAGAATTAAATTGCAATCTATGCAACACATGATGTATGGTAATGCTCTCTACAAAAGGGGGGGGGGAGATGGTTTATTGCTAGAATGTTTAGGTCCAAAAAAAGCGTTAACAGCTATGGCTGAGGTTCATAAAGGCATCTGTGGTGCTCATCAGCCTAGTGTGAAGATGAGATGGTTGCTTCGAAGACATTCCTATTATTGGCCAACTATCCTTAAAGACTTCATAGAATATGCAAGAGGTTGCCAGGCATGTCAAAAACATGGCACAATAAGGCATGTGCCTGTAACTGACCTGCATGCAGTAGTGAAGCCTTGGCCATTTAGAGGATAGGCCATGGATATGATGGGGAAAATACACCCACTCTCTTCGAAGCATCATTGTTTCATTTTAGTGGCCACTGATTACTTCACTAAATGGGTCGAAGCTAAGCCATACAAGGGTATAGACCAGACTGAGGTCATTGGATTCATTAAGGATTTAATCTATAGATTTGGTATCCCGCAGACTATAACTATTGATAATGGGACTGTATTTGATGGGAAAATGGTAAAGTCTTTTGTGGCAAAGTTTGGAATTAGCCTTGTTAATTCCACCCCCTATTATGCATAAGCCAATGGTCAAGCTGAATCATCCAATAAATCCTTGAAAAAAGGAATACAAAAGGTTGTGGAAGACAATCCTAGGGATTGGCATTCTATTTTTTTTTTTTTTAATAATAAATCTTGCTTCTAAATCAATGACTTTCACCATAAATTTATTTTAGGTTTAAAAATTAATTAAAGGATCCTCCAATAATATTTAATTTGCACCTTAGAATTCACCACCAAAATATTTGAGATTGTAATATTATTATTTAATTATTTACTTAATTTCTATATTCGGGTTCTCACAGATTGACCAGAATAAAACCAAAGCCATCATTGAAGCCAGACCTCTATCAAGTAAGAAAGAATTACAAAAGTTCCTTGGACAGGTTAATTTTCTTCGAAGATTCATTTCTAATACTGTAGGAAAAACTAAAGTATTTTCTTCCTTGTTAAGGCTAAAAGATGAAGAGGAATTTGTGCGGATAGCAGAGTATCAAATTGCTTTCGAAGGAATCAAAGCCTACTTGGCCAACCCTCCAGTGCTAATGTCACCAAAGGGTGATAAGCCCTTGAAATTGTACATAGCTGCAGCAGAGGATTCATTGGGAGCTTTCTTAGCCCAAGACAATGAAGAAGGCAAGGAGCAAGCTGTTTATTACCTTAGTAGGTTTCTAAATTCTTGTGAATGTAAATACTCAGCTGTAGAAAAGTTGTATCTTGCATTGTATTTTGCTGCAATGAGATTAAGATCCTATCTTTTACCTACAACTGTCTTGGTAATTGCAACCACAGATTTGGTTAAGTATATGTTATCTAGACCTATGTTGAGGGGGAGAATTGGAAAATGGATACTAGCCTTATCAGAATTTCATTTAAAATATGTTCCCCAAAAGGCAGTAAAAGGACAAGTTTTAGCTAATTTTTTGGCAGACCATCCATCTCAAACAGAAAGCCAAGAGATAATGGAACT